ATAAAAAATTTTTTGAAAAATTTGCATTTATAGAGGTAATTTTTTAAGGGTTCTATGTACTTGAAACCAAGCTTGACCATATATTTAGAGAGAGAAAATATAATAAGTACATTTATAGAGAGTGCATTTAAGGAGGTCTCTCTGTATTAAAAAATTTTTAAAAAATCCATTTTTAAACCTTTAATTTAAAAAATCCATTTTTAAACTTTTAATTTAAAAAATTAAAACTTATGAAAATTTTTATTATTAGTATTTATCTTTATAATACTTTTGATTTTTGGAATAATTTTTATATTACTAATCTGTACCTTTATATTTGTCATCTCTATATCATTATTTCCTTTAAAACCTTATTGTTTGATTTTTTTACAGTATATATTTATGAGTATATTAACTATTTTAATTAAGCATTAATAATGAAATCTCATTAATATAGTCTATTATAACAATATATATTAATTTACAATAGCAACCAAAATCACTTGAACTAATAAAAACTTATTTAAATTAAATAAAAATTTAAATATAAAAATTGAATGTATAAAATTACTTTTACTTATAACCAATATCCAAACTCAAAATAGAGAATAGTAATTTAAATGATACATACTGTATTGTGAATGCATATTGTAACACGGGAAAGAGTAATGCGCCTTACACTGAATTCTGGGTTCCCCACGAAATTGGGAAGAAAATAGTGGTATCGAACACAATAAGCGTGATAGAAAACTAGTGTGCGCCTGGAAAAGGGGGAAATGTTAGAAGGAAGTATAATCGCGGTACAATCGCAACGATTGCCACGTGACGGGGTCGCGCAAGGATCTATTATGGCACTATGGGATCCATTAATAGAATTATGTAATAAGAGTAGTGTGAAAATCAAATAACAATTTCTTCATCATGGGATTTTTATAGTTTTTGCTTAATTTGTATTTATCATTTTTATTATGTAGTGAGTATGCAAGAATGTATAAGACAGAAGAGATCAAATAAAGGAAAGGCAGTTAGAAAAGTTTTTCGACCAACATCAATTCCGTCTCACCATAAATAAAACACTTACCATCGTTACGCGAATCTGAACTTTCCTTAGCGACAGACTCGCCGATCACCGTTACAATATAAGGAAATTTCGCATGGCGTTTCGACCAAGTTTAACCTTGTCGTCAACATCTTTTGCATCAGACCTTTATCTTTTTTGAAAACTCAGCAATTCCTATTACTCAATGATTCTCTTTCTTACATTGAGAGCTTTTAAAATGCCATCAACCTTACGGTTCTTTTGTGGTTGCAGTGAGTATTTGGATCCTGAATCAAATAAAAGGAAATTAAATGTAATAAATATATCGGAAATTCATAATTGATCCAATCCAACACATCCTAGTGCATTCCAAAGAGTCAGTTTATTATAAATATTCTCATATCAACAGCCATATCAACAGCGTAAGTCCTTTTGAGACTCGATGCATTTGACTCGGGCTTTCAATCGCTCCGAACTACTTATTGATTATGGTAGTGACATTTATTTTACGTAAACAATGACACATACTATTACAGGAAAACGCGTGACGCAATATCACGACACGTCCCCTCGTTGTCGTAAATAGTGATAGATTATGGAGGGAAAATTTAGAGATGAATAAGGTAGAATTAGCAAATAAGGTAAATACTGTTTGTAGATAGTATTCGCATGTAGAAATATACAGTATGCTCAGTTCAATAGCATGTAGTTAATTTATAGTTGAGAGCGCATTAAGTAACAAACAATAAAGTAACGTTTAAGGATAATTCTTACCTCGTGTTCAGTGTGCCAATATAGACTTGTAACTCGAGCTACGCGACTACAAGATAGAACCGAGGTTTTTCCTAAACGAATTGTCATCGGAAGGGCTAGGTTAGTTGGTGGGGAGGTTAAGGCAAAGACCAACAAAATTGAGTACACGCCTCAAGAGTAAAGAATAACCTTATTGTTTTACCGACGTTACGCAACAAGATAAGTATTGTGTGAAAGATTAGCGACCGACTCGCCAGAAAGCATACAACAATACGTATATACCACATATTAATGTGCTATGATGAATTTCGTAATGTCATGCCCTTCATAAAGGAAAGTATCAAATTATCTTGCAACAAAGATTTTCTTACAAGGGTAGGGACTTGGAAACGATCACAATAATCTTCAGGGAATTGACTAATTGAATTCGTTCGTTTAATCCCATGTTTGCTTTTCCAGTATTAAATTGGGAAATAATCATTGTTCTTCATTCAGACAGAATCGTTCCTGCTAGCATCTGTCAAATCAATTGTATTGTTCAAATAATTAGAATACATAGTTGTATTTCTAATTTCAAGATCCTTGGATCGGTATTGAAGAGTATGTCAAGCAAAGCAATTCGAATCGACGCATTATCAAAACTTAAATTAGTCAATTTCTAGTGAAATACACAATTCCATGTGAAATAAAATAAAGCTAAATTACCTCATTATCATTAGCACAGTAACTGTTCACTTTCGGGAAGGTCTGGAAGGTTTAATAGCAGTGAGTACATTAGTTGTATACGAAAGTCAAGATAAACTACATCGTGATCCATTAAATTGTGATCGTCATCTACGTAATTCCGATCATGGTTGTTCCTTGTTCAATGCTTTCCTGAGGTTTGATTTGATTTTCTTGTGCCAATTTTTCCCACATATCATTTTTTGGGTATTGTCGTGAGCTATCAGGTAAGCCTACAATTTTTCTCACTACGTTCGGTTCTACAATAAGGTAAGTTTCCCTAACTCGTGTTTCTGATTTGCCCGTTTTTCTCATTTTAACTTCTCTACTAACCTAGAACCCTTCCAATACCAATTCCCTTAGCAATAATCGGTTCTCTCTTGTATTCGCGTAACCCAAGTTACAAGTCTACTTTGGCACACTAAACACAAGGTACGAGTTTCTCTTTAAACGTTACTTTATTGTTTATTCTTAAATGCGTTCTAAACTAACTCTACTCTAAACTAAACCTCCTTCCCTAAATGATACTGATTTGTGCATGTATTTAAACTGTATATGTGCCTATTATTTACATCTTTTTACTATTCTACGATACTCTAGAAATTCTCGCCACTAAACTTTTTCACACTGATTTGCTTTTCTCTAACTTTCCCACCGACGATCTTATAACACACTAATTACGGGACGCAACGGCGTGTCAAGTTACTGTGCCTACTTTTTATCCACGACAGAATATAAATAAGAATTGAATGTAATTCTATTAAATGCATTGAAAATTCTCAAGTTATTTAAAATACCCTTTTCACACTGAACATTAACATAGTTACAGTTATATTAATCTCCGAAAGTAGAGAAGACGGATAGATATGCATAGTTATTTCTTTTATTTCGAAAGAAGAGGTTACTTTATAATCATCCATATAAGATCAACTTTCTGTCATTTAGGTTTACTATAGTAGGCGAATGTTTGTGCAGACTTTTTGTACGTGCTGTTACCTTGAATACTAAGCTTTATTTTTAATACACGATCAATTTTCTATTAGCTTTGTGCGCATAAAGTTTGCATCCTATTATTAAAAAACGTGAGGATGCCTCTGATAATTTAAAATTCTATAATTATGTTTAATAAAAAAAATCCTTTATACTACACGAAATCGAATGCAACTAAGAAAAACAAAAATAGTTGTACTGTACTACGTTTTTTGTTTTTAATTGTTCTTTTAAAGGAAATTTTATTTAGAGTGTGACCACATACGATAATAAATCCAAAAAAGTCAATACATCTACATAGTACAATATTAAAAAAATTTTTTTAATATAAATATTCACGACATTTTTTCGTAAACCTTCCATCCCTCATTAACAAAAAGAAAAAAATCTATTCCATTAGAAAAGACGAAAGGCCAATTCACCCTAAAGAAGATGCCACTATACCACCATTACCTTTTTCACAGTTTCCTACTAAAGTGCAAATTGGTTGAAAAATTAATTACGAAACACAGGCTGACAAAATTTCTAAGTTCTTTTATCATATACAAAAAAGTTTATGTCAAATATCTAAAGGACAATGGCCACAGTATTCCAATGACGAAGCTCAGTTCCGTGGTTGGATGTTGTAGAAGATTTAACCCTCTCATGCGAAGGAAGTTTGTGTAAAAATCTTGGGCTCAACCAAAAACCTATACAATCAAATTATTAGTGTATATATGCACGGCTAACTTCTTTTGTTTCAGGAAGATACTTACTTCTCATAGCTTTCTTAACAAAAAGATAATATTAAATAAAGGTTCAACTTGATGCCCATCTATACGATTCTCTTCAAACGTCTTACTTCTTGGTAAGTATGAGTAACCCCTGTTTAAAACTAATGAATAACCTGTTGGGGGACTAAAAATATGAATACCCATAGTTCTTTGTTATCCAAATTTGATATAATAGGCGGGTGACATGCTTGTCCATTTATGGTATGTACTATTACACTTTATACCATATATTTTTATAATGCATAATCAATCCATCGTTACAACTTTGATTTTTATTTTCTTGTAAACCCTTTGCGATAGAGACTCTAGTCACACGTCAGTGGGTTAGCAAAAACCATTAAAACATTTTTGAGAATATTCTTGATAATTTAAAATCAGGAATGTTCTAACTACTCGAGACATCTATTACACAATTAATAGTAAAGAATTTCCAAATCGAATATATTCAAAGTACAATTGACAAAGAACAAACAAAAATAGCAACTTGTGACATGCCGGAACGCGGACTACTACGTACTATATTTATTTTAATCATCTTTTAAGGAAATTGAATTTAATGCACGGTATATGATTACATACAATAAATATAAGAGGGTCAATACCATAGGGACGCCTTGTGTGCACTGTCGATTGCAAGTCAATACAGAAAGCAAAGATATAAATACTCAACTCAAACTAGTTAAATAGAAACTTTAGTTTTACATTATTATCATCACTCTTAAAAATTAAACACCACAAGCAAGATGAGTAATATCAAGAAAAAACAAGATAAAAACTTTAATAACAAACACAAACATTTAAGAAATCAGCCCGCATTTTCAATCAGAAAACCTGTTTTGCAACCACCATTGCGTCTAAAATCTTTTCCAACAACAAAAGAGATTATGAAATTAGTTGAAAAGTTAATTTCAAAACCAAAGGTGGCAAGGTTTCCAAACTCATTTTTAATTTATCGTAATACTTACGTTAAATACCTAAAAGACAACGGCCACAGTATTCCCATGACGCAGCTTAGTACTATGGTGAAACTTTCGTGGAAAAGTGAACCCTATCACGTAAAGGAAACATACACTAAAATTTCTAGTGAGATCGAAGAGTTATATAATCAAATAGTTGGAACGAATCATCTCATGAAAAATCAATTGTCTCTCGATGAGCATCTCTCAACCAAATCCCAACTTCCTATAGATGGATTTGATTTCTCTAATGAATCACATTCTAATCCTTTCGTTACAATTCCATCCTATCCTTCATATCCTTTAGGAGAACCGCTTTTTGATCCTCCTTTTGTGTTAATTCCATCTTGCCCACCTTATCCTTTATATAATCACCTTTATCAAATGGGATGTACAAATATTCCAATTTTCTATATGAATGATGAAATTAATGAAACATCGAGTGCTGAAAACGAGATCAGCAACCAGCAATTATTGTCTTTGCATAATTTTTATCAATAGATAGGATTTCACTTATTCATATTCAAAATTTGGGAGAATAATTTATTGTTGTTTCTTTATTTTGTGAATTTTCCCTAGTTGGACGGTTTCACTTGATGATCAAGATGCTGTCTTTGAGGGATTTTTTCGTATTTTACTTACATTATATAATTACTTAATGAACGATATTATTTTAGCTTTCTACATAAATGGATTATTATTGTTTTCTCGTCTGATAAATTTCTTACATTCAAGTTAATAAGGCAAATGGATATTTTTTATTTTCTGATACGTGACTTTATGCGGATTAGGGAAAGTAAAAACGAAATTTCAAATTTGATGACCAAATTAATTTTTTCAATATTCATCGATACATATGAACCGTAAATACAATATGCTTTTTGTTTCATACATGGACCATAAATACAAATTTACTTTATTTTTACATATGAATTTTCAACTACGTATTATTTTTATATTGGATTGATTTATTCAATTCTTCGTTTATCATGATGCCAGGTTAAATTTGTATCACCGATTAATCTTACAGTATTACGAGAGGCGATCAAATCTGTTTAAAAAAATAAGATTGTACCTAATTATTTCTATAAGTAAATTTTTATTCTTAAAATAATAAATAAAGTATATTAATGATTGTGATAATGAGAGAGACAAAAAGTGCCATCATTTGTTTATTTAAAAAGTGAATTTAACAATCAGTAGCATGAGTAAAGGTAACGTGATCTGCGCCGAGTAACCAGTCTTCGCGGAACTATCACGAGATCTAACCCTGACAGAGCGCGCCGTCTCAATAGAAGGGGCGCCAGGATATTCCTTAAGACTATTATCAAATGTACAACACAATCGTTCTGTGGTCATGTGATAGATCTTTCTGAAGATCAATCTTGGCGCGGGATAATTCGATGATTATGCAATGCATTAGGAATATTATTTAACAGCTTGGTGCAATTTTTATTTACTTTCCTTTTTTGTTAATTTCATTTTGATCATACTGTATGTACAAATAAAGCAGAATTTGGTCAAGTCGAAAACGCACCTCACTTTAAAGTTAATACTGTGTTCCACAGTTATGCGGATCTGCTCTAAGCGGCAGACTCGCCGATTACCTATAACAGTATAGATTTTTTGAATAAAAAAATATACGTAATACTAGATATCATTCTTTCAAAAGATTGTTGTTTAATCAAATTAATTTGATAATAACAAGTTTTTAAACAAATTGTATCAAATTTTTAAAGATATTTGTATAAAATTATGTAATATATTCTTCAATTAAAAAATAATTTTTTAAAAAAAAAAATTATCAGCACATTGCATACATGCATATTGTAATGGACTCGATGATTTCTTCCTTTCTTCCTTTTGCATCGAATAGGCAAGACACAGTAATTGATGTCTTTTTTTATAAATCAATCTACTGTATTTGGAATTTTCGGTGTATATTAACCATTTATTTTGAATATCATTTGTTTAATGGATATATATGTATAACGAATTAATTTATTTATTAAATAGGAGTATATTTTAAATTTTTTAATTTAACTGTTGCGACGTTTATTGCACAGTATTATATTAAAAATATTTTTATCCGAACCGGTCATGATAGGCGTCATGTCAAACAAAAACGACAGCAAGATTACTATATTATACAAATTTGTTAATGAGAAATGAAGGAATTCACTAGCATTTTATATAAACTAGGGGCATTCTTTCATACAGTACATGCCTGATTTGTGGTGGATCTACAGTACATGCATACTAATGCATGTCAATAGCCATTGTCATGTAATAATATTATTTTAGGATTGATATGCCCGCAGGTCCGATCAATGCACGTCATATTGCCGGGCCATTTGAGCAATTATCTTTGAAGGCGATGAAATGTTAGATAGGATTTTTTATGTTCCTATTTTTTAATGATACGTATACAATGCAAATTTTAAGACCGCAATTACAAGGTTGTCCGCCTTCAAAGATAATTACCCATTTACGATAGAAATTTTCTTAGAATCAGTTGATTTTTCATTTGCGTATACAGTAAATGCATACTATATTGATACCATGATTTTGTTTGCTATTTATTGTTACGGAAAAGACTCAAATGCTGATTGAAAGTGAAATGGAAATCAATTCAAATTTTTCCAATTATAAATCTGTTTTTGAATTGCAAAACGATACAAAATATCAAACAAAGATTTTGATTACCTGATTGCTCTACTAATTTTTGAATGAGATCAGGAAAAGATAATGCAAATAAAATTCCGTGAAGAAGCGTTACACTGTGATAATAGCCTCAATATAGGCTTCAAGTTATTTGTTATACATATTGGTATACTGTAAAAGGCGACGGGTAATTATCGGAATTTATCTCATACGGTGATTAAGCCCGCAGGTGTATGAATAATTTGTCCCACTTACTGCACGCCACACTGAAAATTATTTGTTATTTTGTCTATTTAATTTGCGTCTAAAATTTGAACGCGCAAAATTTTCCTTTTTTTGTCCAGATCTTTTAAACCTTTACGATATAATACTAGTCACATGAGCCGTGATTAGTAAATTTTACATCAAATTGTCAACAAAATTTGAATAAACCCTTTTATAAATCAAAATTGTTGAATAACATAATAATCACGAAAGTTCTATGTGCGTGTGATCGTTGCAACATAGTGATAGAATCAAATTTCTAACAAAGAAAAAAGTTTAACAACGATACTTGGTTCTTTTTTAAGTTAGATCTGCGGATGTAACAACTGTTATCAATCAATAATATATTGCGTTTGTCAAGTATAAATAGACGGTGTTTTTTTTTTTTTTTTTTGATTTCGTAAAACAAAATGAAAAATACACAGCAAAAACAAGGCAAAGATCTGAAGAACAAATCCAAACGTCTGAGAGATCAAACTATATTTTCCATTAAGAAAACCACTCTATATCCACCACTGAACCTCCCACAATCTCCTCCAACAATGAAAGAAGTTATGAAGTTAGTTGAAAAGTTGATTTCAAAACCAAAGGTGGCAAGGTTTCCGAATTCTTTTATAATTTATCGAAATACCTATGTTAAATATTTAAAGGATAATGGTTATAAAATTCCAATGACTGAGCTTTCGCCAATGATCTCCCGTTCGTGGAAGGCGGAACCCTCTTTCGTAAAGGAAATCTATGTTAAAATCTCAAACGAAGCTGAACAGCTTTATTATCAAATTGTTAAAACGAATCATCCGCAAAATAAACCATCCCTAGAAGAACCTCCATCGGTTACTATTCAACCTCCCATCGATGAATTCAATTTTCCAAATAATTCTCTTTTGTACCCTCCTTTTACACCATCCTCACCCTGGTCTTATTATCCTTTAGAAAGTCAATTTTATCAAATCAATTTTATTACTGATGTCTTATCAAATCAGCTAACCTTTCCCCCTACTCAAACTCAGTCGGTCTTCTGCTTAGATGTCAATGAGTTTTCTAGTGGCGATTTTGATATTTTTAACAATAATTATTCGGCATCAAGTATAGAAAATGGCGCAATCAACTATTACTTTAATTTTTGATTACGCGACTCATTATTTATAGCATAATTTTGTTTTATTAAGTTTCTTTTAGATAAATCATGGAATTTTTATATAGTATAGAACTTTAGGCAATACGGCGTTTATTATTATTTTTCTTCCGTTACTTGATTTTTTTTTGTATGAATCAAAGTTTTTTTTATTTTGGTATTCAGACATTTGTATTTCACTAGACTAATATTATGTATTAAGCATCACAATTAAATCTAAATTTTATATTACAAATCCTTTTCGCAAAAACGTTGTACGTAAGCTAATATCATGGCTTCTTAAAAGTTTCTTCTGGTTAAAGGAGTTTCAAAAGAAAAATTGTCACAAATTAATATGAACCGCGGATGTATTTGTTTTATTAAAAGTTTGTTTAATCACTTAATGTTCGATATTGTATAATTAAACCACGCTTATCAATAATTTTATTAATAATACCATTTTTGTATTTATTTTTTCTTTTAACAGTTTTGCGATGAAACCGCAGATCTAGTGGTGATCTGGATTAGGGTGCAGGACAAATATGTACAGTTCGGTACAAAATCGTCTGATTCGGCGGGTGATTTGCCGATTCCGCCGATTTCATCGATTTTATTTATGCGCACTATTACTGTATGTACTGTATTATGCTAATTAATATCATGAGAACTCTTACATAAAGCGTAATTAATTTATTGTGGTTTTCGCTCAAAACCACGTGATTGTTTATTTTTAGCACTATATGTTAAGCCGATTTCGCCGATTTCGCCGATTTAACGTGGCCAAAGCCGAAATCTGGACACTATCGGATACTGTATAAAGTTTATGCATTGTTAAGTAGCTCAATGCGCATTTTATACCTTATTTGGTTTTATAACGGAAATATTATGTAACCTTGAAACCTATTATTGTTGTACTATTAATATAATAAAGGACGTATACAAATCTGATACATATGTACCTCTTTGTCACTTGACGATTGTCATCTAAAAAATGTCGGAGCAAATATTAATTTAATAAATGCTTTAGAAATGAGATAAAATTAAAATATATAATAAAATAATTTTCAGGTATCTTTAATTACCTGTTATTAAATCGTATCCAGATTGAATTTCCATTATAAAGAATTTTTCAAAATCCATTTATTTTTTTAAAAAAACTATTATTAGATTGCCTATAATTATTTTAATACAGTACATTAATCTACAAAGTAAAATTAATTGCAACGTGTAAAATAAAAATAAATATGATTTTAATATATTGATTTATCAGTGTTAACAAATTTTAATATAGAAAACTTTAAAGTCTTGTTTTTAAAATCAAAGAATAAAATCAATTTTTATTTAAACATCGTAATATTGAATCCAATCCTGATGATATCCCACAAATAGATTTCTTCACCAAACTAATCATATTCAATGATATTTTCTTAACCTTTCCACCCTATAAATTCTTTAACAA